AACCAAAACTTGACTTTTAAAACTATGTACCTGACAGTATTATGCTTAATCTCGCTCTGATACCAAATTGTGATGTAACCGCCAATTTATACAAGATCAAGTATGGTTGTCCCCACTTAACACGTTGACACACCCATACTTTCACTCATATAAACCCGGTAGTCCGCCGAGTGTCTCGAAAGACCTCGGTAAATCAACATCACAACCAAGATCGCGTGATTAAGCAAATACACATCACATACATCGGGTTGCAGCGGAAATAATGTTACAAAGGGTTTAACAAATAATAGTACAAATTTGGGTTTCAAAACCGCTTAGTGAAAACAACATAGCTTTCAAATGATTACATTAATATAAGTTCCAAATATATTGCTAGCATAAGTGACATCATCCGACAAAAGCATATAGATGAGAAGTAAATATAGAATCACCGAGCCCACCATGCCAATAGTTAGCCACCATCATCAACAATTCGAGAACTTCACCGCAACAAGGTGGGATAAACCACGAGTACTTTCGAATGTACTCAATTGGACTTACCGTCGGAAACCAAAACAAATGACACCAAGGATCATGCAAGGCTTTCTTTAGTGGGCTAGCTGACTTGTTTGCGAAAAGCATAAGCTATCATGAAGAAACCATTTTAAATACTTTGCATCATCTTTATTATGACCTATCCATCTAGGTAAGCACCTGTACTATAGCAATCACTTGATTAACCAATAACATCCAGTTACCAATTTAGATTTAGCATATCCCATACCATCCAGATAACCATCATTGTTCCATAATAATTACTACGATGAAGTAACTCGAGTCAAGTGCTCACTATCCAGGAGCGATGGCGATTCGAATCGATTCCTAACCAGCTGGTGATTTATTCCTTACACAAACCTCACTCACCCGCTAAAGTGAGATATTGATCACCGAGTCAACTTTCCAGGTATCTCGAGTTTGCCAGGAACCACATGTACCGGGGCCGACCGATCGCACTTTGGTCTTATCATCCCGCCCGTGTCCTACCACACCACACTTTCAAGACACGGTCTTGGCTGCATGGGCAATCTACTCGGCCCGAAAAATCTCCCAGCTTCGCGGTCGGAAGGTACTTTATCCGGCCAGCTAAATGTAAGGCATGCGTTCAACATGACTCGAGGCCCAACAACGGTCGGTCCTTAATCGACACAGACGGAAACTAACAAAGACCCCGTAACCACATGCTGTTTGCCTCCAACTTTTCCGTCCGGTCTCCAATTATCCATCACACATGGTTAATTCCAGGATATCATTCTTTCCATAGCTAAATTCTTCCAAGAACCACCTATAAATGTAGGTGACGGATATCACCGATCGCTACCGGTCTAAGCAAGGCTAAGCGATTATTCGATCCCCGACCTAACAGGTAAAAGGGTAATAAGGTAGGCAAGGATAGTAATAAATGCATCAACGGTTTCAATCAACTCCTACAACTTAATGCAACAATATATAACTCATATATAGAAAGAATTGCTTTTATAAATTAGGAGACTTATAATGCTCGGGGCTTGCACAGGATCCGACACAAGTCGATTCGGTTAGCTTGCACCATCCTGGTAACATCATAGGTCCTAACACTTGCTTAGTCCTTCCATCTTGGGATAGATCCATCAAACATTGTCTTCGGTTTGGCTCCAACATCACGTCCTTCACGTGGTTCATCTAGCGTACCTAGATGAGATGCAATATGCAAGTGCATAAATATAAAAGAATAGTACCATGAGACACATCACAAAATAGCAAGCAAGACAAGCATAGTTTACCCTAACACACTTAAGTACTTTACGATGCTTAACTTAAACATCACACAATCTATCATGCTAAGATGGCAAAGAAGACGACAACACCAATCATGACACAAGTTTCCCCAGATCTCAAGTGCTCTAACTCAGTCATCATTCAAGGCATACGTCACACTTAACAATATACAAGCAAGCACTAAAATGGGAATCTGTCAATTTCTGGACATGCAAACAGCAGCTCCAAGATTTAGCTATAACTGGAGTTACACAAATCCAAATGACTTGAAAGAAGACATTATGGAAAGCTTATGAAATTCTCTACAATTCATTTTTAATCATCTTAGCATGATTCTCAAGTTAACTAAGTCAAATATATCCATTTACAGAAACTGGTCCACAATTGACAGAAAACAGCCATTTCTGAAACCCAACTTTAAACAGCTGTAACTCTTAAACTACTTGTACAAATGACACCAAATTTTAATAGAAGCTAGATACATGAATTATCTACAACTTTTGTATAAACAAGTTTCACAACAAAGCACATTATCATGAAGAACTTTGCTAAGTTCCCAGATCTGTCCATAAACCACATCGGCAAGAAAATAATTATTAACTTATGTTGCAAATACATAATTGGGCAAAACCAACTTTACCAACATTTCACACATGACTAAAGAACACCAGAAAACCTAGTGTCCATGACCAAATAAATTCTTTTAATGCATTTCTTAATTTATTTTAGATAACAAGGTGACTTAATGAACATATACCAAAAGTATACAATAAATTCTACAAAAATTACAGTGGCTCACATATCCTCTCAATAGTCTACTGTACAAATTTCACTCCATTTGAATATGTATAGCAACCTCTATGAAAAAGACAAGTTGCTAAAGCAAGAATTCATGTGAGAGCAAGATAAACCAATAACTCACTCATACTTCATCCAATACTCATGAAATTTTTTACCACACATCAACTATCACAGGAGTAGCATGCCACAAAAATTTCACTTCATTTGGAGCCCTAGATCTACAGTTATGAAAAATAACAAATTCAACTAGCATTACAACCTTCCTGCACAAATCTATTTTTACCGCAAAATATTTAAACTAAAACATGCCATATTATAGATCCACTGCATAGACAATTTCACAAGGATTCCAAAAAGTCCTCATTTGCTATTTTACGAATTTCCTATGAATTACTATGAATTTCCAAAGTTCCTGCAAAATAATTACAAACCAGTCCTTATGGCACTATTCACCGAGTCTATGACATTGCAGTTACACCCCTCCCTTTAGTCGAATTGCTGCGCGAGGTCCCTGGCGCGAATTTGGAGCAGAGGACGCCGGGAATCGGTCGGTGGCGGTCGGAGAAGGGCTCAAGCGGTGGCGGGGAATGATGGGAAAGCACCAGGAGGTCCACAGCGCACCAGCAGGCTGCTCAACTTTGGCCCGACGTGGCTGTGGTGGCGCTGGCACCACGATGAGCCATGGCATGGCGGCGACAGCACTGCTCCGACGGCGGGGAGCATCAGCCCAAAGGCGTCGGTAAGGAGGTCCAGAGGCGCCGTGGTGAGAGAGGAAGGTGGTCCTGCGGTCCATTTGGGTGGAGGGAGGCCGTGGGCAAGGAAACGCTGGCAGCAACGAGCTTGAGTGTCGCCCGGCCATGGCGAAACAAATGCCTGACGGGAGCGAGGAGAGCGCGAGAGGGAGCGAAAGGTGAGGAGAGGGCGAGGGGGAGAAGCTCGGCGAGTGCTCTGGCGATCCACTACATCGAGCAAGGCACAGGGACGCGCCTTGGCAGCAAGGTGGGCGCGCAGCTGGGCATGGTCTGCCACCATGCACGCCACGCGTCGCCCTTGACGCAATTCGCGAACAATTGGGCAAGCGACGGAGTGGACATGGTGGGAAGCCGATTTGGGCCGTCTCGGGTGCGAATTGGACTTTGGGCCTAAAATGAAGTTTGCTTCTTTCTGACGCTCTGCATTTCTTGTTTAAGGAGCCAAGTCATTAGAGCTCTGGATCAGCGGGTAATTAGGCTCCAAGTTAATAGTGTCAACGCGCGTTGGCGATGAACAAAAGCCCAAATTGAGGGTCAAAACGAAGTCCAACGAGTGCCATCCTTTTGCATGGTCTTCTTCTCGATGTATGCTCCAACTTTTATTTTGGGGTCAAGTCAAGTTACTTAACGAAATTTGGAGAACGTGAGACGTCAATGCCGATGTCGATGAATTTCAGACTTAGGATATTTCTAAGTGCTGAAATCAGCAGCAGGTTCCAACTTCGAGCCTCTGTTTGACTTATTTCCAAGTTGATCTAGCTCTTGGTCCAAAAACAAAGTTTGTTCTACATGATATGGACTACAACTTTCATTTAAGGTCCAACCTCAAAACTGGTATAGAACCTATTGTTCTACTTTGACCAAAGTAGGATCACGATGAAGCTTAAATTATCCTTTTTGATCCATTGGAGCATTTTCTTGGCATTTGCCCAACATGAACCCTTCATGACTTTTGTTGTAGAGTTCATCTAGAGTCATTTTAGCAAGGTTGCAAGGTTTGGTGGACATCTCATGTTCTCATTCACTTAATAGTGCAATTCAAGCACTTAGTAAAATCATTCCAACAAGGATATAACTTATCATTTCATGTGACTTTTTGATTCCAAACTTCATGAAACTTTTCGAGTGTCCAATATAGATGGGTATTGATGTGAGACACATGAAGATATCCCAATCACACCACCTAAGCATATATCTTGAAAAGGGGTCTATAGGCGAGCAAAGGTGCAATATCCAAGTTTAGGTTGGGGCTCGTTTCTATAGGTTTGACCTTGACATCTTCATCATCACTTAATATACCATGTTTTAGCTCAAACCCATTGCTTAACTAGTGGCAAACACCTGGGGTGTTACAGCCGGCCTGGTTGCTGGATTCAGGGCGTTCCCGTTAGACTTCCCCGGAATGGCCTACCGTCACGCCCGCGCTGTACGTGCATGAGAAGATATGCTTTCAGTTCATGTCGCTCTTATACTTCTGCCGTGCTTAATTAATTAATTACTCTGCTTTGACTTTAATTTTGAACGATGACTCATATATATAAGCAGTGCCGCAAGAAACTAGACACGGTGTTCAGGGAGGAGGTCCAGAGGAGGAGGAGGAGAGAGGACACGACGGTGGATGCCAACAAGGACTTGATAAGAGGGCTGACGGAGATGGAAGACGAGAAAGGGAAGAAGGTCTGCGACGACGAGGTGGTGGACAACATCGTCTCCCAAGTCGTCGCGGGCTACGAGTCCACTTCCAACGCCATTATGTCTCCCCTTGCTCTTCACAAGCTGAGGGTAAGCTAGCTAGCTACTTGTACACAATTCTCTTCTCTTCTTGTACACAATTCTCTTCTTGAATTAGCTAGTTTTTTGCGGCACTGCTTATGCGTCGTCGTGCAAAAAAGAGTCAGATCAGAGAGGTAATTAAGCACTGTAAACTCACGAAGAGCCCAATTCTTGAATAAACTAGTCTGGATTATATATTATTCAAGAATTGTAATCCAAGCGGTCGGAATGGCCCATGTAAGTGCTGCGTAATTTATATGATGTTTATTATCTGAACTTGGCAACTTGCACATGTCAGGAGGAGAACGACGCTGTAAGTAGAGACAAGAATGGTGGCTTCATTTCCCTGGATGACATCCCTAGCATGAAGTATACTGCCAAGGTACATAATATACGACGATGCATATCCATCACAAGTCACACAATACAAAAAAATAGCTCAAGGATATGGATATGCATGCAATTTATTCTGAGCCCTTGGTCTTTCGCAGGTGGTAGAAGAAACAATTCGAGTAGCCAACGTAGCTCCAATGGTCCATCGCGTGGCACATAGAGATGTCCAGTACAGAGGCAATTATATTAAGCAATCACTTTTATATGATTCAGTACTAGTACTTCTCCCACTACTCTAGAATGAAGAATTAATGGACAAGCCAATATAATGCTTAAATTGATTACATGTACTAGGTTATACGATTCCTAAAGGGTGGAGGGTCGTGGTGTGGCTGCGCTCCTTGCATACCGACGCCAATTACTATTAGCCTATTCGGTTGGCTGGTTCGTATATGTGAGAGAAAAGTACTGCTGACTAGTTCATGTAAATAGTATCTATGTGAGGGGGCTGGCCAGCCAGCCAGCCCCAGCCGATCGGGCTGTATGATGATCCACTCAGCTTCAACCCAGGCAGATGGAACGTAAGTCTCTACTAAGTTCATTCAGCAGTAATCTGTTGATTTTTCGTTAATTTAATTCCCTTGTTATTAGAGATCAGGGGCTCAGAGTGTATAACTGTATATACAAAGCTAAGCTAGTTCACCTCATATATAGTACTGTCGATTGGGACTTGCACTGACGATTTAACATCGGACATTATTACTGATCACTTTACCAGAAACCGCCAAAGCGTACCAGGTGTTCGGTGGGGGGGCCCAGGATCTGCGCTGGGAACGTGTTAGGTGGCAAGGCTGCAGCTCACTATCGTGCTCCATCATCTAGCTGTTGGATATAAGTAATTGATCATCTAAATAACATAGTACAAATTGTTTTCCTTTTCTCATATCTGTCCTAGCTACCGTAGATAGCACTCCCTACAGTACTAGTGTAAATAACAGAGCTTGTTAAGCTAAGTTATACTGAAATTTTCAAATTTGACTAATCTTCGATTAATCCTGTTGTTGGCTTTCAACTCTTTCAGATGGGAGCTGCTTAATCCTAACGCTGAGGTCACATACCTTCCCCACTCGAAACCGGTAGATGGGGCTGCCATGTCATTTAGCAAACTGAACTCTGTTTAAGATGCGGGCAAGACGACGTGCTCGATCGTGTCCAGATCAAAGAACAATTGTCGACAGCACACGTTGCAATTTGCAAAAGCATACGGAGTATGCTACATTTGACTGTACTTGTCCAAGTAGTCCAACAGGCGACAGCGCAAGGATTGCTCAGAATTCAGAAGTCAGAGAGAGCGCGTGTCCCGGCTACATGTACTGCTTATTTCCTCTCTTCATCCCGTATGATGCGCTCTGTACGTGGATCAACTGCATTATATATATATATATATATATATATTGTTTTGAGTAATAATGTAATGTACTCCATGTTAGTCCACTGGATCACCGACTCAGGTGAGTTGACCACTCTCCAGTCTTATCGAGCACCCGCTAGTGTTGTCGAGTACCCACTAGCTATGCCGACCACGAACCAGCGTTGTTCGTCCCCATACACTATGGCTAGAGGTTGAGAAGAGGAAGAACAGAGTATACACACAGTACAAGACACTAGCGTTGGCCGAAGCCCTGTATGGGAGATGACAAATCTGAACTCTCTTTACTGAGTTACCGTGTCAGTCTATTTATACAACTCTATCCATCTAGTCCTATTACAGCCGCCATGCTGCAACAGTGACTAGATAACACAGCAGGGCTGACTCTGCGTCGGCCTCTGCATGTGGCTACAGTACTGCAGGTGAGCCATTCGGCGCCTGCACCTGCAGCGGCTACAGTATCACAGTAGGGAGCCTTTTCGGCAGCGCCTTCCCCTGCTGTGTGTTCACACAAGATAGCAGTAGATTATCTAACAATTCTTCCCCTAATCCTACTGTTGACCCTTGTACCCTCTCCATGCCGATCATCTCCTTCAGCTCCGTGAACCGAAGACGTCCGAGCGGCTTGGTGAGGACGTCCGCGAGTTGCCGACCAGTTTCGACGAACTCGATGACGATTTGCCCTCCATCGACACAGTCCTGAGGAAGTGGAACTTCACGTCGATGTGTTTGCTCCGGTCGTGCAAAACCGGATTCTTCACGAGGGCGATGGCGGGCTGGTTGTCCACCATCAGTGCTGGTGGATGAGCTTCTACGCCGGTCGGCTCGTCCAGCAGCCGGCGCAGCCATACAACTTGGCACGCCGCTGTGGCCGCCGCTACGTACTCTGTCTCGCACGTAAATAGCGCCACCACCTTCTGTTTCAGCGACAGACATGAAATTGAGGCCGACTCGAGGAAGATGAGCACGCGCAGAGGTGCTTTGTCATCCGTCGATGTCCCCCGCCATGTCTGCATCGCTGAATACAGTGAGCTGCAGCTTACTCCCGTCGGTCTTGGAAAAAATGATCCCTTGATCCACCCTCCCCTTGACGTAGCGCAGTAGCCGCTTCACCGTAGCCCAGTGATCCTCTCTGGGATCCTCCATGAAGCAACTGACGTAGCCCACGGCGAACGTAATGTCCGGCCTCGTGTGGACTAGGTAGCGTAGACCGCCGACGATGCTCCGGTACAGTGTTGCATTCATCTTCGCCGCGGTGCTGGCCTTCGTCAGCTTCAGCCGCTCCTCCATCGGAGTCACGCATGGCTTGCACTCAGTCATGCCGCTCCGCTCCAACAGCTTAGAGGCATACGTGCTCTGACCGAGCGTGAGTTCCTCCTTCCCCTGTCTTACCTCGATGCCGAGGTAGTAGGAGAGTGCGCTGAGATCGCTCATTCGAAAATGAGCGGCCATCTCGCGCTTGAAGCCGTTGATGTTCTCCGTGCACGCGTCGGTGACGATTAAGTCATCCACATACACACCGACGATGAGCTCCTCCTTTCCCCATCGCCACGTGTAGAGCGCGTGCTTGGTTGCGCACCACTAGAACCCAAGCTCGCCCAGCGTGGCATCAAGCTTGGCGTTTCATGCTCGTAGGGCCTTCCGCAGTCCGTAGAGCGCCTTACGCGGTCGGAGCACCCTGTGCTCCTCTCCCTTGACGGCGAAACCTGGAGGTTGCCTGACGAAGACCGTCTCCGCCAGCTCACCGTTGAGGAAGGCCGATTTAACGTCTAAGTGATGGACGCACCAGGTCTTTGCTGTTGCCAAGGCTAGTAGCAAACGGACAGACTCCATGCGCGCTACTGGCGCAAAGACTTCCTCGAAGTCAATGCTCTCACGCTGTACAAAGCCTCGAGCCACGAGGCATGCTTTGTGCTTGACAATGGCGCCGAGCTCGTCCCGCTTCACCTTGTACACCCACTTCAGGCTGATCGGACGGTATCCTGGAGGTAGATCGATGAGCTGCCATGTCTCATTTTCCTCGATCGCCTTCATCTCCTTCAGCATCGCCCGTCACCAGTTTCCATCGTGCTCGGCCAGCGCGAACGTGGGTGGTTCCTCTGCACTGACGAGCAGCAGCTCTGGGTCATTGAGTAGCCTACCCACTAGGCCTAAGGGCCCTGTGCCACCGACGATGTCGTCCAGCCTGCGGAACCGCACCTCTGAAAGCTCTAGTTTGGTTTTGGTGAATTGATGAAACCCTAAGTGCTAACCTAGTTCATCAAGTGATCATGAGATAGGTAGCACACTTCAAGTAGAGAAGCAAATGAAGATCATAACATGACAATGGTAATAGCATGGAGATGATCAAGGGCTTACACTTGAAGAGAAGAAAGAGAAAAACAAAAAGCTCAAGGCAAAGGTATAAACCATATGAGCTATTTTGCTTTGGTGATCAAGACACTTAGAGAGTGTGATCATATTTAGGTTTGATAGCTGTACTATTAAGAGGGGTGAAACTCGTATCGGAATACGGTTATCAAAGTGCCACTAGATACTCTAACTCATTGCATATGCATTTAGGATCTAGTGGAGTGCTAACACCCTTGATAATATTTGTGAAAATATGCTAACACATGTGCACAAGGTGTTTGCAGGGTTGAGATGGGTTTGGGTCCCTCTCTCCCTCCTGCCGAGCTTGCGAGGCGGGATTCGGCGCTTTTGGAAAAATGAAATGTCTATTTTCTATTTGCGCCGGATGCAAAATTCTTGGTGGTTGGCACACTTGAGCAAGGGTGAAGAAGTTAGAGTTTAAATGGAGTTGATCAAAATGATCTTTGGCGTCGGTCTCTTGGCCCGGACATTTGGAGTCACTCAAATGACCGGACGCTGAAAAGCTGCGTCGGTCGAGCTGCCGACGCAACCTGATGGATAGGGTTGAGCACCCGGACGCCGGTTGAGTGCGTCGGTCAAGGTGGACGGGACGCGTCCGGCCAAAAAAAAAACATGCCTCGGGGCTTCTCGAAACGACCGGTCGCTGGGGCTTCAAAGGTCCGGTCGGGCTTTATCGGACGCGTCCGGTCATGCCCGGAGCTTCTTGTAAGCAACGACCGGACGCAGGGCTTCAAAGTCCGGTCGATTCGAAGGCGGCGTCGGTCGAGGCTGATGACCGTTGAGTCTGGACACGTGGTGACATCGGCGACCGGACGCCGAGAGCGGTATGTCCGGTCGGTCTGACCGGGCGTCCGGTCGAACGCGCTTTTGCCCAAAGAAAGGGGTATAACGGCTCTATTTTGATGGGGCTCTATTTATAGCCCCATGGCGCTCAAGGGATAACTCTTGCACATTTTCATTGACATAGCAACCTTGTGAGCCTAGCCAAAGGACTCCCACTCATCTACATCATTGATTCATCATCATAGTGAGATTGGGAGTGATCCAAGTGCATTGCTTGAGTGATTGCATCTAGAGGCACTTGGTGATTGTGTTTCATTCTTGGATTTCGCTTGTTACTCTTGGTGGTTGCCGCCACCTAGACGGCTTGGAGCAGCAAGGATCGTTGAGTGGAGGAGGTGATTGTCTCCGACTCCGATCGTGGTGATTGTGAGGGGTTCTTGACCTTTCCCCGGCGGAGCGCCAAAAGGTACTCTAGTAAATTGCTTGTGGCTTGTGTGATCCTCATCTTGTGTTGGTTGTGCGGCACCCTATTGAGGGTTTGGCGAGTGATGCCAATTAGCGCGTGAACCTCCAAGTGAGTGAATCGTCACAACGAGGACTAGCTTGCCGGCAAGCAAGTGAACCTCGGTAAAAATCATTGTGTTCATCATTTGATTCCGAGGTGATTGGTCATCATTGTTATTCATCTTCGTGATTGATTGGTTCATTCATCTA